GCCAATGAATTCATTCATTCGTTTGTTCGGTCGTACGTTTTTTTTGTTTGTTCCTTCATTGAATTACGTCATAGGTTATTTGTTCAATCCTTACTATAATGAATTGTTTCATTGTTTGTTTGTTTTTCTAATAACGTATGTTATGAATTGAGAATAAGTAAAATGATATGATAAATGCATCAATGTTAGACCATTATTGAAAACATGGAAGGACTTAACAGATAGACGTTTTGTCCTAGTATGCGACTTCTCAGAAGTGAACATCCACAATCCTATACTTGGACGAAACAACTATTCAGTACTTCTAGATTTTCACCGATGATCTAACATTGATTCATTCATGATCTTAATCAAAACTCAAAAAAATCTCCACAATCCTACACTGATAATAAATGAATTGTAGTCAGTAATGGAATCTAGAATATATGTTTCGACCTATTTAGAACTAATCAGTTGGAATTACCTACATTAGAATCCAGTAACTTTTCACTTTTAAATATGTCACTCCATTCTTGGTTAAGAGCTTATCGAAATACCATGAAACCACTAACATTAGAATATTGATTGAATTCGGATGTTGTGTTCAATATGCCCTAGTACGGCCGAGGTTATGGAGGGTCAACTCTCCCTCTTCAAATGCTCTCACATGGCCACGCATATACAGCCACTTTCAGGGTAGTCATACTCACTGCCTTCTGGCAGTATTACTTTTGTTTACAAAATTAAGGGACGAAAAGCGAATATCCGGGGCTTTAACCGGGTTGATAGATACGGAAGTTCCACCTAGGAGAGATGGGAAACCCTCATTCCAAACCGACAGTGCACATGGAAACAAATGGTGTATGGACCAATTGTTGGTCGCCGGATACCATAGGACTGCATCTCCTGACGTTGCTCCACTGTCTTGTGGATCAGACCTTTAGGTCAAAGGCTCGAGGTGTCTTAGTAAAATCTGACAAACATACAGCAACTACTTCCTTTACAAATTATCCATCAGTTGTCTCAGATTTGATTGTTCCTTCGCTCCCATACCAATCATTCTCTGTACTCGTTTTCTTCTTTTTGATCTTCTTAATCTTCTGTCACCAGGCATCCCATTTTCAACTGATGATACATACTACTTATACCTGTTGAAATCAGTAGCACACACCACACTACTAGTATTATTAGTACTGCTACAACTACTATAGTGAATGAGAATACAAAAGGGGACAACCAAATGTATGTTAATTCAATATTACCGAACATTCTGGTAAAATCTGGGAACCATAAAGTAACTACTTCATTTGCAAAATGTCAATCGATTGTCTCAAACTTGATAGTTCCTTCGCTTCCACATCAATTATTCTCTGTTCTCGTTCTCTTCTCTTCGATCTTCATAGCATTCTACCACCAAGCATTTCACTTTCAATTGATGGTAAATACTACTTATATCAATCGACATTAGTAGTATACATCACACTAGCTTAAAAGACTAGTGAAAACTTGTCAAATTACAATAAATACCTCATCGATCACGGTAAAGTTGTATACCTAAAAAACAACACTCCACAATTCATATACATTACATATATTGCTATAATAACTGTTTGTCAATACAATTATATGTCTGTTTATCAGAAAGGGATTTTGGAGAGATTAGAGTAATTTAGTAGTTGAGTTCATGAGTCAGTAAAAGATAGACCACCATGGACAACTTGGAGGCACTCGACGGCTGTCTCGTTCTAGCATGGTACTCTTCGGCAGTACGAATCCGTGATCCCGCCTCGCGAGATTCGAACCGAAGACTTGTCGGTCTTGGGCACGAACGTTTAACCTCTATACCACTGAGCCCGCATCCAACGATGTTGATGTCTAACTTCAACTAACCTACGAAATTGAGCCATCGTTCACCATATGTCTATTTGTCCGTCATTTAAAATGATATACAATCTGTGTTCTATGTTTGTTTTGTTTAGTTTTAACTATATTTTCTTCCCATTTTCCTAATTAAATCCTTGTCAATTTAAAATCTGTCAAAAAAGGAGATATTCCTGTATGAAATAAAAGCTATTTATGTAAAAATATGTATAAATTTAACTTTTCTCAAATGCTACTTATGTCGACAGATATAAGTAGTATGAAACACCGATCGAAAGTGGGAAACTTAACAGCAGAAACCTATGATGGTTAACTTGAAGGAAACAGAAACGGAATTAGAAAGGAATTGTGAATTGAATGAATTGTACAAAATTTGAAAGACAAATAACGGAAATTGATAAATGTATAGTTTCAGAAATACATCGGTTGTATCCACCTATATTCTCTTTCAAAAGAAGATAATCTACCTGGTTTTGAATTTTATCTTTGTACAATATATATTTATTACAATGTGTGATGTGTATGTTATTTACGATAGTTGGGTGGTGTCTTCCTAAAAGTCCTTCTTATTTAATTGATTGATCACTAAGTGTTGACCATTGAGATGTTTGTCTAGTTTTTTTATGAATACAGTGGTCTTGAATGCTGTTGGAAGTATGAGGGCGTTTATCATTTCCCGATCGCCCACACCGTGGAAGGGTTCTTCTGGAGGTACCTGAAAAGAAATTGGATTAAAGGTGGTCTTAGAGACCTGAGAGCGTGACCACGGTTCCCAAGTGCTCACAACCGATCACAGCGGTGTAGGTGTATACACTCTCTGTCTTCCTTTAAACTATAAGATTGAATTCGCTTCAAATCTTTCTTTCTACGAACTAATTGTTTCTTCCTGTACGATGTCCTTATATGCAATCTCTCTTTTATACATTACCACCACTGAATTAACTACTTCTATTAGTCTGGTGTTCATCTTGTTGTGCTAATGAACTGTGGCACCTTGGACCGATGCACATATGTACCTGGTCCTACGTTGTAGCTGACTGACTGACTGCCTAGTCCTTTGGTACTGATTGAATTCTATAAATCAAGTTGTAGTTTAGTCTTATTAATTTAACACCAAATGAACTATGTTTAAATGCTAGGCAGTGGTTTGAAGTAGTCTACAGGAAACTCCAGGTATAGATTTTATTCTATATATCATTTTTCAACAAGGTTCACCTACAATCTTGATGGAACTGATAGTTTCTGGTAGATTAGAACCTGGTTTCATAGTCGAAGATATTTTCACTGAGCTATTCAGGCTGTGAAAAGTGTTTTTAGAAGGCCTGGAATATTAACATTAATCAATTACTGAATAGTAAGTAACCAGTGTCATTTTTTCTGGTAATTATTAATTCCGAATAATTGCTTTTTAAGTTTTTGCATATCTGTTCATGTCTTCAATCATCAAATATTACAACATTTTTGTGAGTAGTTTTCATGTTAGCTCCGTACTTGTTGGGATCTTACCGCTGGAGAGGGATATTCGTGGGATAAGGCAAAGTGTGCATTCTTAATACCGACCTTTTCTAACCCCACCCCTCCTTGTGAGAATGCAGCATCGTTGTTATGCTGGTTGTCTGAAGGAAACACATTACTCCTGTTACATCTCTGTACAGTCATCAGTACGACTTCGCCTTCGGACCTTGGGTCATGAGTCAATTGAAACTAGACAACCATAGAAAACCCGGAATTACTGGATGGTCGTTTCTTCTTATTATAGGACTTTTCAACAGTGCTCATTCACGATCTCATCTCGTGAAATTCAAACCCTGTTGAAAAATCCCACAATAAAACGAAATAACCATCCCATGCTTCTATCTTCAATTAATTCATGATTTCAGCTATTCTTTTAACTGAAAAAAATCTTTATAAAACAGTAAATTCCTGTCTTCATTAAATGGTTCATAACCATTACAATTCAATTCTACTAATTGTCTACTGATTACCAATTGAATTAACCAAACAACAACAAAAAGAAACAGAATTAAATTTACCAGATAGAAAGTGTTCAATATTCTACAAGGTCATCTCATCTCATGATTGAATAATGATTGTGTGTTAAATGTAATGCAATAAAACAATTATGTATATGCAATTCGTTTAGCCCAAATTGAAGTTGTTGTTTTTTTTGTTTCTTCTGTCTATGATTTAAATACATAAGTTGAACATAAATGAATTGTCTTAATTAGAAACAGTTGCTTGTCAAATAGTATAATGTATATAGTATGATATTGTGTGCTTACTAATGATTAGCTTCGAGAAATGATTCTCAGAGTTCTAGTAAGAAGCTGTGACCAGTGAAGCCGACTAGTGTCGTGTGTGATGTAGTTAATTACCGAAGACGATGGAAGACTATCATTCAATATCGTGGACTGGATCGAAATTACTATGATATCCACTAAAACCCCTTCTGATATTAACCAACATATGCTCACCAGTGACTGACTTCAAGATGGATTTCCTGGAGTTCTAGAGAGAAGCAGTGACCAGTGGAGTTCAACCAGGTCTGTTGTGAGATAGTAACTCACTGATGACAATGGTGGACGGCGGTCTAGTGGTTAAGCGTTCGCTCGCGAGACTGGCAGGTCCTGGGTTCGAATCTCACGTGGCGGAATCGTGGATGCGCACAGCTCAGGGGTCCCATACTAGGATGAATCGGTCGTCCGGTGCTTCCAGGTTTTCCATGGTGGTCTAACTTCAACTGACTCATGATTTCAATCAAAAATAAGTATTTTAGATTGAATAAAACTTCATAAACAAAGATGGACAATGGCTAGCAGTGGAATCCAGAACACACGTTTCGTCCTATTTGCGACTCGTTAGCTAGATGGTCCTGCATTTCAGAGTTGATGTTCACTCTGGAACTCAAACCCAGTACCGTTCGCTACAAGGACTAAACGCGCGTCCTGAATTCCACTGCTAACCACTATCCATCTTAGCTTAGAATGCTTGTAAATTAAGGCAATATCGAATCAATATGCATAGTATGGCACATATGCCAATAACAGACTGATCAACTGCAGTGCTAAACATTAATGGGATGATTTAAGTAAAACTATATCAAATGAATTGAATAAAACTTCATTAATCTAATAACTAACCTATTTTATTTTCATATTTTGGATTATCTTTAAAATAATTAATCTCATGAAGATGATTTCCATGAATCAATTCATCATCATCACCGCCGCCACCGCCGACACCACCGCCACCACCACCATCATCATCATCATCATCATTAGGATTAAGTTCCTTGAATTGATTGAATTGAATTGGTTTACTTTTCATTGTAATATCTATAGATTGTTTATTTATTGAATATTTAGATTGATCTATTTGATAAGTTTCTATCCATTTATTCAATACTTTATTGAATGTTTTTTGTATGTTTATATGTTTATCATATTTAGAATGATTTTTTATTTTATATTCCAATTCACATAAAATTACATTAGATATTATAATAAACAAATAAAAACTATGATGTAATTTATGATGAATAAACATTTGCAAATTAATCATGAATAGTAATACGGCATGATTCTCCTTCTATTGTCAGGATTATGTAATGTTATTTTTTTATTTTTTTAAAATAAAAAACGATATCACATTACTTCATGTATTAGATTTATATACTGATTGGTTTGACCCTTCAAGGTCATCACTGCGATTCGACCAATCAGCATTCAGTGTGATGAATATTTAATTCGTATTAGTAATTACGGTGAGACGACCTTTGAGCGTTGTTAAAGTGACCTTGAGAGTGTCTACCTACTTACTAGGGCTTAATAAAGATTATAAAGTAGTTTGTACAATAAGGATTCGGATTTACAGTTGATGGTTAAGGTTAGGAATTAGATTTATGGGAGGGTTTTCATCACGAACTGACATTAGTTATTATGCCAAGACTCTATTTAGTCAAATGGGTGAAGGAATTTTGCGCCAAACTCTCAAACCTGTTATTGTAGATCTGATTGATTCGTTCATAAATTATAATCTCGCTGTAATTAATGGATTAATTAAATAATAACTGAGTCATATCCTAAGAAGAAGAAAGAAAGAAAGAAAGAAAGAAAGAAAGAAAGAAAATGAAGTTCCTTGGGTTTCAATTGCAGTTGTTAGTTGACTTTTTTTGTTGTTTTCAGAGAAATAAACAATGAAAAAAAGAATTCGTTTTACATTTACCTCCAACGATCATATTTATTGATTGAAATCGTGAATGAGCATTGCTAAGGAGTCCCATACTAGGACGAAATGGCCGTCCAGTGCTTCCAGGTTTTCCATGGTGGTCTAGCTTCAACTGACTCATGATTTCAATCTGTGAAATTTCTAAAATCTCCACAAACCCCTTATGAAATTTATTAGTAAAGTAATTTAACAGTACGAATAATCACTGTGGGTTGGTTTGTTTTTAACATAGAACTACGTATCTGTTGAATTTATTTATCAAAATTCGGGAGTTTCAGAAGGGGTCTTATGGATTTCAATAGTTGAGATCATGAGTCAAAACCTGGAAGAACTGAACGTCTGTTTCGCCCTATTATGGGACTTCTCAGAAGTGTGCATCTACAATCCCGCCTCGCGAGATTCGAATCAGGATCGATCCGTCTTGTGAGCAAACGCTTAACCACTAGACCACTGAGCTGGCCGGTATCCAATGGTGTTAATTTCTAGCTTCAAATAATTCACGAAATTGAGCGACACATTTACCATTATCATCAGTGTGTTACTATCTCACAACAGACCTGGTTGAACTCCACAAGTCACAGCTTCTCACTAGAACTCCAAGAAAGAGAAAGTTTCAGTGTGGAAAATTACTCGTTGCAATTCGAGTTTTTTTTTAAGTGATGAACGTTATCATGTTTTATAAAACTTTCATGTAGATTGTGAGGGGGCGAGTAACAGGTGTAAGTAAGTAAGTCCTTATGATCAGTATAATTCTATCGATTTGTTATGTAATCATAGGTTACGCAATAAATGTATACGTGTATAAAATGCTAATCAGTGTAGTGACTAATTGAACCATATGGAAACTCACATACTTCTTTTTAATTGTTAATAATATGCAGATAATATACATAATTGTCAGTTAACTACCAAGTTAACTTCTAAATGAAATCAACAACTGTCAGTTATATTCTTGTTAATTGATTATTAGTAAATAGATGGACATATTGTTCATTAACTTCATTCATTTCATCTACATTTAACTGGATAATACAATGAATCATCATGTTTGACCGCTCCTAATGAAAGATGTTATCATCACTCTTCATATTAGTAAAGAATTCATTTATTTACTTATGAATATGTCTGATGCATAAATATAAATTTCTCAGCTATTATATGCAATGATTGATAGTGACTAATTGTGGAATCCAATTCAATGAGTGTTTCGTCCCATTTGGGACTCATCAGCTGGATGTACATGTATCTGAGAGTTGATCTTCACTTGGGGACTCGAACTCAATGCCATTCGATTCAAACGTCATCACGTTTGCCTGTGCAGTGGAAAGATTCAAATAAACATTATCAAATGTATTTCTCAGGTAGTTTATGGATTACTTTATGGAAGAACTTTCATCACTTTAATGAAACTCCTAGGAAACTATAAAAGACGACAATTCAGATATTATCACAATGAAGCTGATATTGCACACTGATACATATTAAATATTCTAAATCGATTGTTCATTAGTATTTGATTATAACAATTGTCTACACAAAATACTTCAGATCCGTTAGCCAGACAATATCAGCAACAGTACTGTGTGAGAGAAAACACCAGACTCTAGATGAGGAAGTAATCAGGAAGAAGCACTGCAAGTAGATAGGACACATACTGAGGAAAGTATCAAACTGTGTCACAGTGCAAGCCCTCAGTTTGAATCCTCAAGGCCAAAGGAGAAGAGGAAGACTAAAGAACACATGACACAGAGAAATGAAGACAGACATGAGAAGAATGCACAACAGTTGGATAGAACTTGAAAGGAAGGCCTAGGAGAGAGTGGGTTGGAGAATGATGGATGTTGGCTTATGCTCCAATGGGGGTAACAGGCGTATGTAATTAAGTTAGTTTTGTCAACACGAAATAAAATACATCAGAACACCACTATAACATATAAAGGTGAATTGATAGGATTCAACATAAATTAATGCATCCAATTTTCAATCTAGTGTTAAAATAGTTTTCACAATTGATTGATCACTAGTGGTTTCCTGTTGACTAACTCTAACCACCATCTTATCTCAACATAGTGCATGCAATGTCGAGCCACGTAGACTAGTGGCCACATTGCAACCTGGTCGATAGCATTCGATCTGCACTAAGAAGGACTTGACACACATGACATTGATCATTATCCAGTGATCAATCAATTGTGATTATATTATATACAAACGGAAATGATAAATAACTAACTTAAATGCACGAGTATTAACTTGATTACGATCTGTTAGACCGTGACTCGAACCCAGTACCATCCGCTGCAAACACCGTCACATTATTCACTTGGCTATTGAGTCCAAATAGCCAAAACCAAAAAATAAAGAGAAAAACGGTAATGTTTACCTATCCAAATATGCATCAATCCTGTATTCAACCGCTAATTACTGACTAAACATTAACAGTTAAAGCATTCACTATAGTCATTATCAGTAGTATTGAACAGTTTATATCATTAAACATTAACTATGTATTATGTAGTACATTTTTCTTCTTCCATTTCTAAACATCTTTTTGTTGTTAAAACAAATAGAAAACAACTATCTTGTAGTAAAGATAAAAGAATTTAACCCTTTTAATAAACATTAAACTATATTGGGAAATATTTCAGGCAACAAACGATCAATAATCCTGCATATTTTTGTCATTATACAATAAATCAGTCAGTCAGTCAGTTAGTTACAACGTAGGACCAAGCACATATATGCATCGGTCCAAGTTTCCATACCTCATTGACACAACCGGATGAACATCGAATTCATAGAAGTAGTCACTTCAATGGTAGTAATGTATAAAAGAAAGATTGTGTATAAGGATATAACACGGGAAAAAAGAATTTACGTCTAGTTAGGTTTTTTCTACATTGCTTTGTTTTATTAACGTTTGGTGTTCATGAGAGACGTTTAAAACTAGCACAGAATCAAGAACTCATTATCACTAACCAATGAAAACCAGAGAGGGTTAGATATCTGTTATATCATATCATAGAATTCGTTATCAGTTCATATCCGTGCACTAAATCAGTGGCCGATAACATAACCTTTGTACTTCATATGAAGTGATTCACCTTTAGATTACTAAGCTTACATCCAATATAGTTTTTGAAAGTGATGTTTTTACCATGAATCATGAAAGTCCAGAACTTCGATAGCCGAGCGTTATTTAACTGACACAACCTTAAATGAATTTACTAATTTGATTTGATTTGTTCTACCCGACAAAGTAGGAGAAGCCATTAGACCTTTCTGGAAAAGATTAGAGCTTTTGCAAAGAGTACGAGATCGGATCACTGGAGAAATCAAAGCAAACAGACAGTTTAGTAGTTAACTTTGTTCTATTTCATATGTAATTAGGCACTTCGATTTTTGTAGTGCAGACGGACATGCTAACAGTCTATGCTTTACTATCATATTCGGAAACTTTGTAGCAACCAAAAAGCGTTTGGAGATATACACCAGTATTGGACGTGGTATTATTGCAAGTATTTATTGCATGTGTATATAGCATGTACACGTCGAAGACATATACAATCTACAGTGCACACATAGGCATAGATGTGTGGGGTCACAAGTATACATTATATGCATGTACAGAGTGCATAAACCGAGTCCTACACACTCCATAGTATATACATAGGTACAGATGCGATTCACCTCAGATCGTAGACCAGCGGTTACAAAATACTAAATGAATAACAAGTATTCAAATCAATTGGGTTTTAAGTACTCATTCAACGCTATGCTGTCATCATGTTCATACCCCAAATCACTTTAGTGTCGACACTTGCCTGTTGGTTATTTCATAGTTTATGCTCGAAAGCGCTGATCAGCCCCTACCAGACCTAATGGGCCTTTTTACAGCCTGAATCTAGTCAGGTACCAAAAGCGAAATTCTTTCTTCACGCTTACCCATACCATATGCCCCGCTTTTCATTGATCATATTTTAAATCAAAGTGGATGAATAGCTCGATTTCCACCGGTTTAAGCATAGTAGGTTATTAGTTCACGTTAGTTCATGAACGGAGGTCATTAAATCCAGGGCACCCCGAAGATATACAGGTTGATCTCTGTATAATCACAGAAGAATCAGCGCCAAAGCAAACAAAAACTGTACACATTTTGGTTAGTAATTACTGATCACCTTGAATATTATTTTAGATCAAACCGTTTGTTGATTATTTAGTTTGTAATTACTTGAAATATCTCGTTGTCGAAAGTCTTGACTAAATAAAGACTTTGACCTGTTGTACAAATTGATGGCCAACTAGAACAAGTATTTAAGTGAATAAAGCTGAAGGTACTGGCTTTAATCCACGGTTTGGATATCAACACTTGGGTTCAGATTAATCGATCTGAAGGCTCGT